TGCAGGACACCAAAAGCATGAAAATTTTTTTTTTTTCCCACGAAAAATTGTTTAATGCACACAAATGAAGAAGACCCGCACGTTTGTGTACTTTCTAACAATAGAATGCATGGCCAAAACCCTTTTAAAGAAAATTTTGGTGATGATTTATGGGTGGGAGGAGGGGGGGAGTGTCGAAAATTATTTTTTAGAAAGGGGAATCCCCTTCCAAAAGGATTGAGATAGCAAGTCATTCTGGGGGTTTTCCCCTTTTTTTTAACCTTCTGAGGGTTTCGGAGTACTGTCGGCTTACGACCAGGGTTTTTGACTTTCTAGTACGCCAAAAATTTAGCGCCCCCAAATTTGTGGGAGAAAGCTGGTAGGCCCCCTATGAAAAAAAAGGGGCGTGTGGTCGTGTGCATGGTTAAAAAAAAAATCCCGCGCACAGTGATAATGAGAAAAAAAAAACTTTGACTGTTTTTTTGGGAAAAAAACAGCGACTTTGCACTGATTTTCATTTGGTATTTTTTTGTTGTTTTAGTTTTTTTTTGGTTCTTTTTTTAGAAGGAAGGTAATCATAGACATTTAGTGATTTGATTGGTTTTACATGAAAATATCGAAATTTAGTCAAAGTAGCTGAAATGTTCGTTTTTTTTCAAAGTTCAAAAGTAAAAAAATCATGCCAAGTGTCCCACTACACGTCAACTGTTGAGTCTAATATTCTTTTGCAAGTGGCGCCAATAGGATTCATAACCATTTTTTTACACTAATGCAGTAGTCTGCATAACAGTAAATCCTCTATTTTTTGTGAGAATAAAAAATTCAAAGTGGAAAGCAAAATAAGTAAGAGGGGCCCTTGAGACGTGGTACTAAGAACAGAGGAAATGTCATTTTAGTGCCATGAATGTATTACTTTGTTTGTTCTGAACCCTATTCGATAACAGTTGGCATCTTTTGAAAAGAGCTATGGTGGAAATTGGCAAAATTGCTAATTCTGACCACTTACTGGATATTGATTAAATTGGTAAATGGGTATTTCTATGCACTTATTCAATAGAAAAAATGGAGTTCTCTAGCGAAATATTCAGTTTTTTTGGTCGATTAGTACAGTGGAACTAGCCTAAAATGGGGCGCCTAGGCGCAAAAATGCGGGGGGCCGGGTGAGCCGTAAACATCGCCGAGACCACTAACTCGCGAGAGCATAATTCCGTAAGTTTACCATCAAATTTCATATTTCTGGTGTCATTAATGAGCGGAAAAAGATCTCTATCTTTTATAAGAATTTTTCTTTCTTTTTTTTTTTAAAATTTGGCCGACCCTGAGAACGAGTCTCGGAGAGGCCTGTTGACCCCTCAAAGGTTTAATGCCACTAGTACAGCTTAGATAGTCACGGCAGCCTCAACGGACGCCTAATCATACTATGTAACCACTACGATTCTTAAATCTTTCAAGCCAACCTTTCGCTGACCTTAAATTCACTCACATCACCACTAGTTGCAGGCAATTTCTTTACAATATCGTCATTGCAACTGCCTAACCTTTTCACAGATGAACGCTTGAGAGATGCTATCTCCTGCATCTGCTTTCATTTATCCACACCAATATGTCACTCAACATCTTCTAACACTTGCGGTCACTGTTTTGTAATCACAGTTTGCACCTTTTGCAACAACAGCTTCCTTGATTGCCGTTTTCCCTGGTCACTAAAGTAAGATGATGATTGGGAGTTTTGTATACAACCAGCCAGCTCCGACACACGCCCTCCACTTTCGTACTTGCAATTACTCTTTCTTTATTTCAATAGCCATTAGCACCCTTTTTTTCGAAGGGTTGCACTAAGAACTTTCTTGGGCCCATGGTGACTTATTTTGTAGAACAAGCACAACAGATAACTCCAAAAACACTGTTATAATATGGGAATGTACCGATTGTATCCTTATATGCGAGCCACACGGCGGCTTTTATTCAAACCTTTGACTGTTTTCGCCGTATAAATAAACGCTTACGAGCCATGTTTCTGACGTATATAATACCAATAATTCAAGCGGCGTCAATCAAGTGGAGAAAGCTGGAGTAGCGCCCACATGGTGGAGAATGGGTCTGTGTGGTCAGAGTGCACCACATAAAAAAATCCCTGCACACACATTGCGTAATGGAGAAAAAAAAAACCACAGATCGTTTTTTTTGGAATAAAACGCCGACTTTGAGTGTATTATCGTATAGTAATTTTATCGTTTGTAATTCCGCGTTTTCATGGTCTTAGTGATAAAATGGAAAACATCTTACAGAATAGAGATGATTTTCATTACTTATTACGAAGAAAACGACTATGAAACTGGAAGCTCAAAGTAGCAGAAATGAGTTCGATTTTTACTAATTGTTCCATGAGTACATAAATCACACCCACACCGTCCAATACAACTCAACTGGGAGGTCTATATTCTTTCACTAAGCACTGATATTAATTATACCCTAATTTACAATAATTCAGTCCGTCAGCAATAAACAGTACATTTTGTAGTTTTTATTGTAAGAACAAAAAATCAAAATAGAAAGCAATAAAATAATAAAGGGTGCCTAAGAAGTTTACTAATGAACAAGCATAAGATATTTTAGTGCCACAAATGACCCTACCATGTTTAAGTCTGACCCTATTTTTGAAATTGCATCTTTTTTATTTTGTGTGTGAAATTGGCCAAATGCCAATATTCTGACCACCAATATTGGGTAGTCCCCAAATGTAAATGGGAGGTTTCTGTACTTCACTGAATAGATAAAATGGAGTTCTAAAGAAATCGCTATGAGTTTGGTCAACTGGAACAATGGAATTGGCTGAAAATTGGGCTCAAAGTCGGCGAAATCGCCGATACGCATATGTCGCCGAGACCGCTAACTTCGCGGGAGCATAATTCCACGAGTTTTCGACCAAATTTCGAACTTTTGGTGTCATTACCATCGGGAAAAGATTCTCTATCATTTCATAAGAAAAAATAATTTTTTTTTTTTTCAAAAATTGAGCGACATAGAATGACAGTTTCAGAGAGGGGCCTGAAACAGTCAAAGGGTTAAACACTGCCACACACGTGGACACGTCTCGGACAAATCGTATACCAGGTTTTTTAACGGGAACCGAGGCAAAAATTTTGCGTTAAAATGTATCGAATACCAGATTTATTGGATACCGATGGCTTCGCAAACCGGGGGTCCACTGTATTGCTACTCCTTACATTATTTTACTGCTCTTTCATATTCATTTAAGAACTCCACCAAGGTGGAGGTGATCCGACAAAGAAAACACTTTAACTGTCATTCATTCAATCACTGTCTTGCCAGAAGTGTGCTGACATTACAGTTTATATAGTTCTCCAGACTATAACATCTCCACCTCTACTTCAGAGCGCAGTCACTGTACTTCCCACCTCTAGTCCGGCTAATTGGTTTTCCTTAATCCCTTCATAAATGTTATCTTGCTCACACTCCAACAGCTCATCAAATCATAAAAACCACTTGCCTCTACTCACTCCACACAAGCTCAAAGAAGAATACTGGGTGACCAAGCCCCTAGCGCTTAAAAGTTTTACTCCCTCCTAGAATGACTCTTATTCCTCCACAAAAAAATTTAAGTTCTTCTAGTCATCCTACTTTTTTCCACTCTCTCTCAATGTCCAACACCTCAACAACCTCTCTTCATCCCTTTGAATAAAACTTTTAGCATCTCCATGCCTCCTCCTAATCTCCAAACTCCAAAATTTTTTCTGCATAATTCTTTCACACTGTTCTATGTTGAAGTAGTCCATTTGCATATAGTCATTCCTTCAAATTTATTGTACACTATTATTATTTTGTGCATATCATCATCCCAGAAAATTCACAGTACAGTACTGTACCCTGAATTCATGGCTTCTAATTATTCAGCTTCTGGTTTGATTTCATGTATGACACTTAAATTAACAAAAAAGTATAAGACTGCATTGAAAAATGTGCTCACTGGATTTCTTTGAGGTAATTCTCATGGTTCTCATTATTATTATAATCAAAGGAAGCACTTGTTATGCGCCCCTACTTCACTCCATTATATACAAAAATAAAAGGCCTGGTTAAATTAAGTTCTATAATAATATATCGCGAACCACTTTATTACTAGCTAGATAAAGGGCAGGTTCGACTATATATTATTATCGGGTACAGTATGAATCGCCCAAAAGTACTCTCATTGTTTTTATATTGTATTATATTATTTTAAATTATTAGGTTAGGTATTACGAATGTGTAACCACTACTGTAGTGACCAATTAGTGGTTCTAGAATTGAACGCCACTCGTCGCCTTCTGGCCGAGCTGAAGTCATACTATGGAGTAGTTGAATGAGTCAGTCAGCTCCTAGCTCTGACTCAGTACAGGTCTTCAACCCAAAGCTCCTAGCTTAAACTAAAACTTTAAACCAAGTCTATTGTCTTGCCTTTGCCATTAGTTTCCTGAAGTCTGGTAATTCATGTCACTTATGAAAGATAACTATTTCGTTACCCCAGACCTTTCTAAAAGAGTTAAATGGTGAGATTAGTAGATTATTAATTGAAATTATTATATCATACTCTGTTAATGAGAATTTGAACGTAAGATTGGGTTTCTTGCTGTATAGTATTTCATTTATAATTGCTTGTGGTTATTTTAATTCACTAACCAAATACCAATGAAACTAAATGATTGGTAATAAAATAAAACTAACAAAAAAAATGGAGTTATTTGTGCCCCTATTGTTACGGTGAAGATTAAGTCGTAACAAATGGGTTGTCTGTCCAGAAGCAGTTCCTCTCAGGAGGATTAATGCTCGCCTAATATTGAGAGCATTGATTAAGTTCTTCTCTCACTTCGGATTTCCAAGAGAAGTTCAATCGGATCAAGGGTCGAATTTTACTTCACAATTTTTCCGTGAAGCCTTGGCTCAGTTAGGGGTCAAGACGGTTTACGCGACGACCTATTGACCCCAATCACAAGGCGTGGTGGAAAGGTTCCATCAAACTTTGAAGATTATGATGAGGTCCTATTGTTTGCAGTATTCCAAAGATTGGGATGAAGGTATTCCACTACTCTTGTTTGCCCTAAGAGAAAGCGAACAAGACAACCTGAAGTTTTCTCCATTTGAGTTAATATATGGGCATCAAATTAGAGGACCAGTACAGGTTCTCAAAGAAGCTTGGACCGGGGAAGAAACGCCGACTTTTAGGAGCTCTCCTACCTTAATGAAAGAACGCCTGAGCCTAGCTAGAGAATTGGCTGCCGAAAACTTACGACAAGCACAGAATAAGATGAAGGAGGAATACGATCGCCGAACTAAACTTCGTTCATTTGAACCAAAAGATCAAGTTCTGGTTCAACGATTTCATCAGGGACATGCTCTACAGCCCAAATTTGAAGGTCCTTTAGAAATCGTGAAGTGCCTAAGTGACGTGAACTACTTGGTAAGGACGCCGAAGAGGAGGAACTCACAACGGACGTATCACGTTAACCAACTTAAACCCTATTCAGGAATTGTTTCTCCAATTTCTACTATAACGCCTCTGAACCAAGAACGGGTACAAGCAAGTTCGGATGAAATGATAGGAGTACCAGTTCTTCTGAACAATTCGACAGCCTTAAAGAATTTAAATTCTCTACTGATAAATCTGGAAGTGGACAAAGGACACGAAATAAAATCCCTGATTAAGGCAAATCTCCACCTATTCAACGACGTCCCAAAACCGTGTACGTTGGGTGTGCACGATGTTACTCTCAGAGAACCTACTCCAATCAAGCAATCTCCCTACAGAGTGAGTCCCAAGAAACAAGGTGAGCTAGAGGCAGAGGTGAACTTCTTACTCTCACACGGGTTGATAAAACCAAGTAATAGTCCTTGGGCATCCCTGTGCATTCTAGTCCCCAAACCAGACGGGACCTCCCGTATGTGCACGGATTTTAGAAAAGTCAATGCTGTAACAGTACCTGATGGGTTTCCAATACCCAGAATTGACGGCTTAATAGACAAGGTCTCCAGAGCTAAGTATATCAGTAAATTGGACTTGTTAAGAGGGTATTACCAAGTCCCGTCGTCACCAAGAGCTCAAGAGATATCGGCTTTTACGATACCTGGTGGCCTATACAAGTATTGCATTATGCCCTTCGGCTTCTGTAACGTGGCCTCTACGTTCCAGAGTATTATGAACATACTTATGGGCGGATTGGACGGAGTAGAAGCTTACTTAGACGACTTAGTCGTATACAGCAACAGTTGGTCCCAACACCTTAGACAGCTTAAAGCCTTGTTTGACGCCTTAAGTAAACATAATTTTACAGTGAATTTGTCCAAGTGTGAGTTTGGCCAGATGAAAATTAAATACTTAGGATTTCGGACTGGACAAGGTGAAGTCGCTCCTTTGAACGCCAAAGTAAAGGCCCTCTTAGAATTTCCTACCCCTAAGGATAGGAAAAGCGTATCAAGATTTTTAGGAGTTGCCGGTTACTACCGTCGGTTCTGTCCGAATTTTGCACAGGTAGCTTTTCCCCTAACTGAATTAACAAGTCCAAGTTTTCATGGACCCAGGACTGTGAAATTGCTTTTAATTGTTTAAAAATATTACTATCCTCTTCCCCAGTATTGCTAAGTCCTGATTTTAATAAACCATTCCACTTACAAATAGATGCCAGTGCGTATGCTTTGGGAGCCGCATTGTTACAGAAGGCTTCAAATTCTGACCTATTACAACTTGTTTCTTATTTTTCTTCTAAGTTAGAGAAACACCAAATTCATTATTCAACTATAGAAAAAGAAGCCTTAGCTCTCGCTGTATGCCTAGAGAATTTTGATGTATATTTAGGATCTTCTCCCCATCAGATATCGGTGTACTCCGATCATAATCCTTTGACCTTCATAAATACTATGAAATCAAAGAATGCCAGGATACTTTGTTGGGCTTTGAGAATTCAACCCTTCTCTATTACTATTTCCCATATAAAAGGAAAACATAATCTCATTGCTGATGCCCACTCTAGGCCTTGAATCTTTATTAATATACCTTTATTTTAACAGTATGAGTCGGTACTTTTATGACAATCTATGTTGTGGAGAAAGCTAGAGATGATGTAGGACTGCTGTCTATGCTACAACCTCTACTACTACGACAGATGCTACCCACCACCGAGAGTACAAGTCAATGGCCACCGTCAGTCGCAAGGGGGGAGGTGTTACACGCCCCTACTTCACTCCATTATATACAAAAATAAAAGGCCTGGTTAAAATAAGTTCTATAATAATATATCGCGAACCACTTTATTACTAGCTAGATAAAGCAGGTTCGACTATATATTATTATCGGGTACAGTATGAATCGTTAAAAGTACTCTCATTGTATTATATTGTATTATATTATATTATTATTAGGTTAGGTATTACGAATGTGTAACCACTACTGTAGTGACCAATTAGTGGTTCTAGAATTGACGCCACTCGTCGCCTTCTGGCCGAGCTGAAGTCATACTATGGAGTAGTTGAGTGAGTCAGTCAGCTCCTAGCTCTGACTCGGTACAGGTCTTCAACCCAAAGCTCCTAGCTTAAACTAAAACTTTAAACCAAGTCTATTGTCTTGCCTTTGCCATTAGTTTCCTGAAGTCTGGTAATTCATGTCACTTATGAAAGATAACTATTTCGTTACCCCAGACCTTTCTAAAAGAGTTAAATGGTGAGATTAGTAGATTATTAATAGAAATTATTATATCATACTCTGTTAATGAGAATTTGAACGTAAGATTGGGTTTTCTTGCTGTATAGTAATTTCATTTATAATTGCTTGTGGTTATTTTAATTCACTAACCAAATACCAATGAAACTAAATGATTGGTAATAAAATAAAACTAACAAAAAATATGGAGTTATTTGTGCCCCTATTGTTACGGTGAAGATTAAGTCGTAACAGCACTAAACCTACTCGAGTCATACAGCATCATGGTTCTCAATATTGTAGTTCCTAGTTACAAGGTTTCACACTTATGACTGATATTTTGGATCCTGTTAAAAACCAGTTAATTACTTTCATACAATGACTTGCTCTTCTGACATTTTGACTCCTGTATTTTTTTTCTTTGGCATGAATTTTATATATTTTTCTAAGCTATTTTTTTTTTACCAAATTGTTTAAGCTCATTTTATGCATGAAATGTTTGGCAAAGATTGGTCAAGACCGAAATATTCAATATTTACACTGGTTGTAGGTAGGTAGACGGCAACCACCCAGGGAAGTACTACCGTCCTGCCAGATGACTGTGAAACAGAAACCTGTAACTGTTTTACATGATGTTAGGATTGCTGGTGTCTTTTTCTGTCTCATAAACACGCTAGATAACAGGGATATCTTGCTGCTCCTACTTATACTTTGGTCACACTTCACAGACACGCACATGCATATATATATATATATACAGTGGACCCCCGCATAACGATGGCATCACATAGCGATTATTCCGCATACCGCTTTAATCGCAAAATTTTTGCCGCGCATACCGATTAAAAACCCCGCTCACAATTTTTCGTCTGAAGAA